AGAGTGGCTGCACGAGCTTGCAGTCCAGATTGGGTCTGTCCAGGATTTCTATTTCTTCCTGTTTCAGCTTTGGTAGTTTATAAGTCTCTGGGAATGCATCCATTTCTTCCAGATTGCTTAATTGGTTGGCACATTGTTGTTCATAATATGTTTTCATAAATGTTTGTATTGCTTTGTTGTTGGTTGTGATCACTCCTCTTTCATCCAAGATTTTATTTATTTGGGTCCTTCCTCTTTTTCTTTTTGCTAAGTCTGGCCAGGGTTCTATCAATCTTATTAATTCTTTCAAAGAACCAGCTCCTAGTTTTGTTGAACTGTTCCACTGTTCCTTTGGTTTCTATTTCATTGACTTCTGCTCTAATCTTTATTAATTCTCTTCTCCTGCAGCATTTGGCTTTATTTGCTGCTCTTTCTCCAACTCCTTTAGGTGTAAGGTTAGGTTGTGTTTTGAGACTTAGGTTTCTTGATTAAGACTTATATTGCTATACACTTCCCTCATAGAACTGGCTTTGTTGTATCCCAAAGGTTTTGAACAGTTGTGTTTTCATTTTCATTTGTTTCCATGAACTCTTTTTAAGATCTTCTTTAATTTCCTAGTTGATCCATTCATCTTTAACTTCCATGTATTTGTGTTCCTTCCAAATTTCCTCTTGTGATTCATTTCAAATTTCAAAGCACTGTGGTCTGAAATGTGCATGGAATAATCCCAATCTTTGGTACTGGTTGAGATCTGATTTGTGACCCAGTATGTGTATTCTGGAGAATGTTAATGTGCACTCAAGAAGAATATGTATTCTGTTGCTATAATGGAATTTCTGAATATATCTGTGAAGTCCATTTTGTCCAGTGTGTCATTCAAAACCCTTGTTTCCTTGTTGATCTTTTGCTTAGATGATCTGTCCATTGCTGTGAGTGGAGTATTAAAGTCCCCTACTATTATTATATTATTATCAATGTGTTTCTTTAATTTAAATTATTAATTGGTTTATATACTTGGTTGCTCACATGTTAGGGGCATAAATATTTGCAATTGTTAGATCTTCTTGTTGGATAGACCCTTTAACTATGGTATAATGTCCTTTCTTGTCTCTTTGTACAGTCTTTGGTTTAATATCTCATTTGTCTGGGGGTGCCTTGGTGGCTCAGTCAGTTAAGCATCTTGCCTATGGCTCAGGTCATGCTCCAAGGTTGTGGGATTGAGTCTCACATCAGGCTCCCTGTTCAGTAGGGAGTCAACATCTCCCTCTACTCTTCCCCCCTGCTCATGATCTCTCTCTCTATCTCTCTCTTTACTTTCTCTCTCAAATAAATAAATATAATATTTAAAAAATAAAATCTAATTTGTCTGATATAAGGATTGCCACCTACCTTTCTTTTGACATTCATCATCATGCTAAAATGTTTTCTACCCCCTCACTTTCAATCTGGTGGTGTCTTTGAGTCTAAAATGAGTCTCTTGTAGACAGCATATCAATGAGTATTGTTTTTTTATCCAATCAGAAATCCTGTGTCTTTTGATTGTAGGATTTAGCCCATTTATATTCAGAGTGACTACTAAAAGGTATGAATTTAGTGACACTGTATTACCTATAAAGTGTCTGTTTCTGTATATTATCTCTGTTCCTTTCTGGTCTATGTTACTTTTGGGCTCTCTCTTTATTTAAAGGATCTTCTTCAATATTTCTTGCAGGATTGTTTAGTGATCACAAATTCTTTGGTTTCTGTTTTTCGTGGAAGCTCTTTACCTCTCCTTCTATTCTGAATGACAGCCTTGATGGATAAAGTATTCTTGGCTATGTATTTTTCTTTTTTAGCACCCTGAATAGATCATGTCAATCCTTTCTGGCCTGCCAGGTCTGTGTGGATAAGTCTGCTACCTGCCTTATATTTGTACCCTTGTAGGTCAAGGAGGTCTTTTCCCTGAGCTGCTTTCAGGATTTTCTCTTTGTCTCTGAAACTTGCAAGCTTCACTATTACATGTCAAGGTGTTGACTTATTTTTTATTTTGAGGGAGGTTCTCTGTGCCTCCTGGATTTGAATGCCTGTTTCCCCAGATTAGAGAATCTAACCTGCTCCCCAGATTAGAGAAATTCTCACTTATAATTTTCTCAAATATACCTCAGGTCCCCTCTCTCTCTTTCCTCTTCATCCAGGACCCCATTTATTCTAATATTGTTTCACTTTATGGAATCAATTTTCTCTCAAATTCTTGCTTCAGGATCCAATATTTGTTTATTTCTCTTTTTCTCAGTTTCTTTATTCTCCATCATTTTGTCTTCTATATCACTTACTCTCTCTTCAGCCTCATTTATCCTTGCAGTTAGAGCCTTCATTTTTTATTTCATCTCATTAGTAGACTTTTTGATTTTGATCTGATTATAGTTCTTTTATTCCTCCAGAAAAGGATTCTCTAGTGTCTTCTATTCTTTTTTAAAGCCCAGCTAGTATCTTAATATCATTTTTCTGAATTCTAATTTTGACCCCTTACTTATATCCATATTGTTTACATCCCTGGCAGTTAGTACTGCCTCTTGTTCTCTTTTTAGGGGTGAGTTTTTCTGTCTTTTCATTCTGTTCATAGAAGAATAGATGAACAAGACAGTAAATACAAAAATAGCAACAGAGACCCTAGAAAAATACACCCTAAACAAATCAAAATAGGTCAGATATCAAAAAAGAGAGAGAGAGAGAATAAAATCAAACAGATGAACAGAACAGAACAATAAACTAGGAAGACAATAGATCCCAAAATTGTAAAGAAAGAAAAAAATATATGTATGTACCAAAATAAAATTGACTACAATGAAAGGAAGCTAAAAATGAAAAAAAAAAAATCTATCTATCTATATATATATATAATGTAAATGTAAAAATGAAAATTAAAAAAAAAATCTTTAAAAAAGGGTGATAAATTAGTTGAAAAGAAAAAAAAATAAAACTGAAAGGCTAAAGAATCATGAGAAAAAAACATGAATTCTGTATACTATTTTCCCCAGCTCTGGAGTTTTGCCGTTCTGTATGATCAAAACACTTGGTGTTAGCTGGATGTTCCTACTGTTTTTTTTGGGGGGGGGGGGCACTGTTGCTCTGATTCTCAGGGGTCTTTACCTGGGTGAAACTGCACCTCCCTTGCCAGGGGTCTGGGCTCAGTATAAGTGGCTCTAGATTCCTCTATGTGGCTTTTGTTCCCTGAAGTCTTTCAGCACCACTTTGGGGGATTGAAATGAAAATGAAATCAGCAGTGCCCCTATCTCCATCCCCAGAGTTGAAAGTTCATGCTCCCCACTCTTCAGTGAGCCTTCACAGAAAATTAATCACTCTTGTTTCCCTAGTTTCCATCCACATTCTGTGTTCATCTAGCTGTTGATGGAGTGTTTTATCTCAGGCACAAGATTCTGTTTTGAGTCTCCAAACTTTACAGAGGAGGGAGGGGGTGTCTTGTCACAGTTCTGCCTCTTACTTGGCCTGTGATGGAGAGCAGTCACCAAACTGTACAGTGATTCGTGGTTTATGGCAACACCAAATAGTAAGCCCACTCCCGAACTCCCTGTTTGCAGCTGTCTTCCCTTCTCCAATGCTTGGGAACACTGCTGCACTCAGGCACCTCCCTTCTTTCTGTGACCCTGGGGTTCCTGAGACCACACTGTCCCACCTAAGATTCCATCCTGCTTGAGCTATTTCACACTACCTGAGCACATTTCAGGCATAGATGTCCCCCACCAAAGCAGACTTCTAAAAGTTCCAATTTTGCACTCTGCTGCTTGTATTACTTTCTGGTACCTGGCTCCCTACCCCAGGGTTTACCTTCTAATATATCACCTTGGATTCACTTCTCTACATCTCCTACCTCACAAAAAGTAGTCATTTTTCTATTTGTAGAATTGCAGCTATTCTTTTCTTAGATATTTTGTTGAGTTCACAGGATTTCAGAATGATTTGATGGCTATCTAGCTGAATTTCAGGAACCAGACAGAACTAGGGTCCCCTACTCCTCCACCATCTTCCCACCTATGTTCATTTTTAAGTTATGTAAGCTCTCTTTTACTATTTTTTCTGAGAGTTTTTATTTAATCATATATGTTTAAAATTTAGTCAAATACTTTTTGCACTAATTGAAATTATGAGGGTTTTCTTCTTTATTTGTTTGTATAATAGATTCCATTGATTGATTTTCAAATACTGAACCAGTCTTGCATCCCTGCCATAAACTCTTTGGACATGGTGTATAAACATTTTTATATTGTGAATTCTATTTGTCAATACCTTATGGATGATTTTTGTGTCTATATTAATGAGAAATACTGGTCTATAAGGTTTTTTTTTTCTTTTTTGTTTTGGTACTATCATTATCTGGTTTTGATATTAAGGTAAGCCTCCTAAAAAGTCAGGAAACATGTCCTCCTCTTAGTTTCTAGAAGAGATTATATGTTGAATAGAATCTTCTAGTAGAAAGATTTTAATTCTTTCCTAAAAATGTATGTTTGGGGATTTAAAAAATGTTATTAATTTCATTTCCTTAATAGTTATAGGGTTATTCCAATGATCTATTACATATTAGTTATGTCACAATAGTTTGCTTTTTGAGGAAATAAAGTAAGATTGAATCTCTTTATTTTAGCCAGCAATAAACTTCTGTTGTTACCATATATCTTTTTTTCAGACCTATGAAAAGATATTGAAAAAGAGTACTAAAAATCCTTATACCTGCTACTCAGCTGAAGAAAGAAATATTACACATATTTAAGGTTAAAGGTTAGGGTTAAAGTATTATGGTTAAAGGCTTTGTATATTTTTCTTCCTTTTTTCCTGTTCTTATCTTTATCCTAATAATCATTACCCTGGCTTTGATATTTATTACTCACTCTGATGTCCAAGTAATTGCTTTTTAAAACACTAGTGTGGCTAACCAATATCATATCTAGATTTATACCTTTTGACTTAGATAGCATGTGTTGACAAAAATAGTATTGACATGATGTCATTTTGATTTGTTTCCACAGCTCTCCCAGTGTTTACTCAACTACCTCAGGATATAAGTGTAGAGGTTGGCAAGAATATAAACATTTCATGTCATGCTCAAGGAGAACCACAGCCCATAATTACCTGGAACAAGGTAACATCTCAACTAAAAGTGCAGTAATAGTAAAAACACTGACAAGTGTATTGACCCAGTGAAAAGAGGTAATGATTCTCACATTGATTTATTATTGTTGTGATTTTTGTTAGCAAATAATATTTTTTACACTGAAACAAGTTTATTTCCTGCTTCTTTTTTGTTCATTTTTTAAGTAACTACATCTGATTTTGGCCCAGGGCTTTGATAAATTTATCCTTTCTTATTTGCTTGATGATGAAAGCTTCATAAACATAACTAAATTCTTCTAAGGAAAAATTGCTTTTGTCTTACATAAATTTAAGAGTTTTAGTGGCTAGCAGGAAACAATTTTGAATTAATAACTCGGAAGTGGATTAAAAGTAGGGCATTAGCTGTAACAAGAATGAAAACTTGTTTTCAAAACAAAGTAAGATGAAAGTCCTTCTGTAGGTTCAAAGTTAAGTGACTTTAAGGAAATAATAGCTTTTTATTTATCTATTTTATTTCTTTGGTTCTTTGAGCTATATTCTTCCAACACAATTGCTTCTTTCACTTTAAGTTTTTTTTTTAATCAAATTGCAATGATTGGTCTCAGAGTCTGATGTTCTTAAAAAATAAATGAAATGGAGTACATCAGAGTGCAGAGTGCTAACCAGAAATGGCATACATCAGAATGACAGTTTTTATAGAAAATTTCAAAAAAAGTAAAGTTTTCACTATGAAAATTTGCAAAGCTATTTTCCAAAAATACTTGTTTATTTTTGTTGTTGCCATACAGCAACAAGGACTTAGTTTTGGTGGCTCATTTCTCTTGTGGTATAGCTGAGCATCATGTGGAGTTCTTTATAAAAAAGTAAATTTAATGGTCTCAAAGTTGAACTTTTAGGCTCAGGTACTCTCAAATAGTCTGAATAGTTTTTATAATTTCTTTTGAGTGTAATATAATTCAAATATATCTTACTAAAAAATAGGCATTGTGAAAAATATACATTTTTGTCAGTCTCTAGAGCCTTATTTGACATACTAAATGCTGTATCATATAATTATATCAGGAAAATAGCTCAGCCTAATTCCTAAAAGGTAGCTTTTAATTCCAAATGAATTAATTGAGGGCTGACTATATGCCAGACATTTTGTGTATGCTAGCACATTTAATCTTTATAATAATCCTCTTCTATTCACAAGGCTAAAATGGTGTGAATTAGGGTACTCCTAAAATAAGCAGATAAGGAATTTATTGGAAAGCTAACTGATAGCTCAGAGACCCTAAGCAAAACCTATAGAACTGTAAGGTTAGCCTAAGAGTTCTGATAGTATATAAGGAGAGCATGTAGGAAGGGAGTGCTTTTGCAAAGAAGCTTGTGCACCTGATCACTTCTTAGTCTTCTGTATGTCTGGTCTTTTTTCATCTGCCCTCCATCTGGTAGGTCCTGATAGTCCATCTCATCTCCTCCCCTGAGTTACCAGCCATCCATCACTTTGGACTTATTTTCTAGTAATGGCAAGAGAAAACTGTGAGAATCTGAAGACCTATGAAACATTTTTTTTTTCCCCCCACTCTGAACCTTTCTGGTTACATTCTGGCTTACTAGTCATCACTGGGGTATGAGTTCTTTTGAAATAGCAGCCCATCTTCAGTGTCCTGTGAGTCTCTTGGGAAGGGAAAAGAGAAACGCATCTCTACCCCTACTCCATTCAAACGCAGTCCTGGAAAGCGAATTTCTTTTCCTTTTTAAAAATTAATAGCATAATAATGAAAAGTACATGAATCCATACTAATTACAACTGAATACATTTAATAATATTTCATATGAAATGTAGTCATCCTACCATCTTAAGTATAATTTTAATTGAGAAACACTGATATATAAATTTTTGCAGGTACATAAAACTTATGAGTACATATATAGAAATAGAAGAAGAATCAGAAATATGAAAGTATTTTGATGCTTTTAGTTGGTAGATTTGTGAAAATTTTCCTTCTTTTCAAATTTTATTTTTATTATTGTCAGAACCCTTTTCTAGAAGAAAAATATGAATAACCTATGTATTCATTCATTGAAATGATGATTTTAAAACGATCATAATATTAAATAATTACATAATTGAATTTTGAGTATCATATTTGTTTTAATTAAGAGAGAAAGCTAAACTATACTTCCTAATAAGCACTTTCTCTCTCTTTTCTTCTCTTACTTAGATTCATAAAATATCTTTTCTAATGCTTGACACAGTAGGTGGTCAGTATATATTTGTTGAACAAATCAAACTATATCAAACAAAATGTAAGATGTTATTTTTTAAGGAATCATATTTCCCTCCTGTGACAATTATTTTCCCTCCCTAGGCAGGTGTTCAGATTACTGAGAGTGGTAAATTCCATGTCAGTGGTGAAGGCATGCTAACCATCTATGACGCAGGGCAAGCTGACCAAGGAAGATATGAATGTGTAGCTCGGAATTCATTTGGCTTTGTTGTGACCAGTATGTTTCTCACAGTTGTAGGTAAGTGTGGCTCCTGATGCGACCTAGATAAATATCTTTGACAGCTTCTACTTCTCATCCTAACTGATTTGTCTCACTACCCAAGTTTCCTTACATGTTTTTTTCTAGTCAAATTTATTGATATTAAATCAATGTTATTTAAAATTTTTAAATCTAAGTTTTAAATGTAAACTGTATTGAAAGGTATCAAACACCAAAACTATCAATGCCAAAAGTGAAAAAAATAGGAAGGATTCACAAATGTATATCACGTTTTCTTAGGAAATAAAAATTATAGAATGTAAGATACATTCATAGCTGAATAAAGTGGAGTCAGAGATTTAAGGATAAGTGGAATTTAACATGTGTGAGTTACTCTGACATGGTATATTTGGTTCTACAGTAAAATTAAAAATCAATCAATCAATCAAACTTCTAGGTAAGATTTGCCACTATAAGAATAAATATCTCAATATTTTGGAACATTTATAATTGGTCAGCGTATTTGGCATTGTTTACATTTTGTGATCCATCATTTAGTTGTAGCCCTCTGCTACTTGTTCATAAATGGTGACTGCTTTAAAAAATTGTCATAGTTTTACAAAAAATAAAATGCTTTTTTTTTTTTTTCCCTTCAATCAATCAGTTTGTATTGGAAGTGAGAGAGTCTATTTGTGGGCAGATTCGAATGGAAACCTCAGCTGTGGATATGGGAATGGGGACTGGCTCTGATGATGGACTGGCATGTTCTCCACGTGGGGAAAGAATTCAAGAAAAGCACAGCATGTGGGGACATGTGAATTGACATCAGGGTTGCTTTTTCTGTGGTTGGGTTTAGGAGCTTCTGCCTTACTGACAATCAGCAGTTCAAGTAAATGAGTTCAGCTACAAGCATATGGAGTACTATTTTGGGCTTTGCCTGCTTTTTGGTTTCCTTAGAAATGGGCAGATTTCATAAATAGGGTTGTACAGATTTATTTCTTTCCTTTTAGTTTTTCCAGCTCTTACTGGTCTCTAAAACTATTGAGTAACTCTTCTCATTATAAATACAGGCTTGGATAAAAATAGATTTATTTAATTAAGTCACATCCTTAAAGATGTCATTGCCTTCCCTTCATGTAGTACAATAGTTTCATATTCTTATACCTGAAAATTCTCCTGAGAAATCAAACTTCCAAATACCCATTTGTTTGGGTATTTTATATAAAGTATATATTTTCATTAACGGTGCAGCCATCTTTACATATTTATTATACTGTATAGTAAAAAGTATTCTCTGTAGAATATTAGCCTTAAAATTATAACAATGTATCTAGTAACTAGCGAATATTTATTCTAGCAGGGTCAGAAATTCTTTATCACATAAAATTTCTTAAAGTTACAAAATCTTAGCCTTATTTGGTATCTGTTATAAGTTCATGTTTTTCCCGATTTAGAATCTATAATAGTTGTGTTTCTTTTTATAAATTTATAGAGCTCCTTTTCTACTGCTTAACTATTTATGAGATCAATGAAAAAATATTCTTGAGCATTTTGGAAAAAACTTATTATAAAATTTAAAATACTATCTTTTAGGTTCAAGAGATGCTAGAAATATTTACTACTAAACAAACACATACACAAACAAACAAATATTCTCTGCCTCTTATTCTCTCCATTTGTCTCTGTTTTGTTCTGCCACATACACACAAACTATAATTACAGTGGTCAACATTTTAGAACCTCCAACATAAGAATTTCATTGTGGTAGATTGAAATTTAACAATCCATTTTATATACACACATTAAAAGTAAAACATTAAGATTAAAATGTATCAGTCACTCTATTTACCAGATTTTAAAACACTGATAAGTAGCATTTACCAATATTCTCCTCTATTGTATAGAGAGCAGAAAGTCAGGCTATAGAGATAGAGTAGTACAAAAGAAGAAGTTATTCAGTCAAGAAGAAAATTATGTTTTTTGCTCTTGAGACATTTTTATAGCAATATAAGGAGAAATTAATTTATATTTGTACCAAATACATTTTATGACATTAGAAATATTTTTTAAAGGTTTTATCTATTTATTTGACAGAGAGAGACACAGCGAGAGAGGGAACAGAAGCAGAGGGAGTGGGAGAGGGAGGAGCAGGCTTCCTGCTGAGCAGGGAGCCCCGATGTGGTGCTCGATCCCAGAACCCTGGGATCAGGACCTGAGCCTAAGGCAGATGCTTAACGACTGAGCCACCCAGCCACCCCAACATTAGAAATATTTTTATAAAGAGAAGTAAAAATATGAAGATATAAATTTTAAAATTTTGAATACATTTAAGATTTAAGTGTGTGTGTATGTATGTGTGTTTACACAACCCAAATTGCAGAATAGGAGGAGATGTGTCAATATAAAGTATCACTTATGGAACATTTTATGACTTAGACACTTTCATTCACCAGTTATCCTAATTAAAAGGAAAAGACCATGCATTATAGGAGGATTTTCCAATCTTAATGCCCTAATTAAGCAGTGATGGAATGTTGTAACTCTGCTCATTGTGTTAGAATTGATACAAAGAGTATCATGCCTTGTGAGTTGCTATTCTGTACTGGGAATACAACTGCACAAAGTCATCTAAAAGAACAAAAATATACAATGACAATTTAAGGAAAATCTGGGATATATACATATATATATATCATGCATTTGAATGAGTGATGCTCAAAGTAAGTCATTTATAATAGCAAAAGTAAAAAGGGTTCCCACAAATTGTGATTTTTTTAAGGACTTTTTTTCTTCATGGATGTAATAGATTTTTAATAGTTTTAGTAAATTTTTACAAACCTTTAAGGCTGATGCGGTGTTTACTGGGAACCTATCCTTTGAGGGTGTCCTCAAAATATTTTGTGTTGAGAAATATTACATCAGCATACCTATTTCTCTGGATGATATTTGGCATATGAAAGTTACACATATTATGTTAGATACCCCCAAACTCACAATTTTTATTCAAAACATAATTTATTTTAATACCTCCTACATATATTGATGTATTGTTAAGTACTGTCAAGTTCATAATTCACAGTATATTCTTACGATTAATTTCTTGCTTGTGAAAATGGTTCAGTCTGAGGACACAAGACATTTACATTGAATATGAACAGTGTGAGATAGTGGGAAAAATCCTGGGTTAAATCAAGAAACTTACCTTTATTGATCTCAGCCACTTTGGATACCTCACCTATAACTGGAATTAATTTTCTTGTTTCTTAAAAAATGTGGAACTGGACACTCAAGAGTCCTTCTTGGCATAGAAATTCTGTTTCTACAATAGCATTCAAATGCGCAACAATACTCAGGAAGAAGTTTAGAGCCTGTCTACATGACAGAATGTTTACCAATGAGACATTGGAATAATATGTGGACTGGCTAAAAGTGAAATAGTGACACAGCATGGATTCAATGAGAGTTTTGGAGCACAAATACCACGTAAATACTGTTTGTAATGATATAAAAAATAAATCCAAACAATGTTGTCTTCTTTGAAATTCAGAGTTGAGTATCTAATGGTATGTTGAATTTCATTTTGGATAACCCACAGGTCTTCCAATTCCATAGATTAAAAACTGATCTTGAATGTATGCCAAATTGAACTCCTCATTTTCACCTCAAGACCTTATAACTTCCTGACAGTCCTTTAATACAGACCATGTTCTGTAAGGAGGAAGCCAGAAAGTTTTCTGATTTTTTTTTCCGCTCCCTCTTCCTTCTTTACACTAACTGCCACATCTCACCAGTTTTTCCTTCAAATATTGCTTCTTTTCCATTTCTCCATATAACCTCCTCTTTCATAGTTCAATCTTTGGTCATTCTGCAATAACTTTCTAAATGATATTTCTACTTAGAGTATTCTCTACTTTGACTATATTCTCAACCTGATAAATTATAAATGAGAATTAAGGCTACATTAGTTGGTTTTAAGTTAATGAGACCTTTTCTATTATGTTAAGTAAATAACCTGTATTAAACTGATACTAATATCACTACTAAGAAAAAGTTAACATTTATTGGGCATTTACCACTTGTTCCAAGTGTTTTTTATCAATTAACTTACTTGATGCTTTTGGGATCTAGTTATTTTTTTGAAATTCTGAATGAATAACTCACTGATTTTTTTACATTCTAATCCAGTTGTTATTGTCTAGATCAAACATCTGTTTCAAAACCACTGCAGTTGTTATACAATGAAATAACTATGAAGTATCAGAAAATTTTAATTGTTTACTCAAATATATCAATGAAATGAAATTGATACTAAATCATTTTTAATTGCTATTTAACTATATTTGTTTATTTACTTTGAATATGACATGAATTAATTTACATAATAATTAATAGTTACGTGATAATCTTGTTTACCTTGGCAAACTTTAATAATACAATGAATGGTGGAATATTTTATAAATAACAACATATACCTAATATACATATACATATGTCTGTAATACCTTTAACCATATTTGATATATTTCCAATCCATTTATACATAAAATCTATATTGAACACATATGTCTATCCTGAGCTAAACCACATGTTTCAAAAAAAAAGTAGCATTAAATTTTAAGAAGAGATTTTTAGTAGAGTTGTGTTTGGATAGTCATGAAATTATAAGGGAAGAGAATAATCAAAATAAAAGGCTCATCTCAATTATTAAGACCAAAAAAAAGTAGTGTCTTTCCTTTTCTGTCTCTGGAAAAAAAACGGTGGAGCTTGCAAGACAGTGAACCCATTTACATATTCAATGATGCAAAATGATGAATAAGGCAGAGTTGTTGCTGTTCAAAGAAAATTATTTCACAAAGGCAGTCGTTCATATCCATTTGTATGCTGTGAGAGTGTCTGGCTTCCTAGGAGAGCCCTCTCCAGGCTCAGTGGTTGGTCCGCTGTTCTCTTTAGCAGAAGATTTCATGTGGGAAGTCTTATTTGATTAATGATAGTTACATTATCTGGCCACTTTTCTTCAGGAGGGAGGGGGAGGTAAAGAATACTCAGTTGTGAAAGAAACTCTGCTTTTATTGAGGTCTAGGTATTTTGTGAGAGTGAGGGCGGGGGTGCAGATGTTCTGCTTCGATGCCCCTCCTCAGGCTCCACCCCGTTCCTCCCTGACTCCTATTCTCTCCGATCTAGGCTGTGCTCCAACAGAGTGGGCACACAGGAGTTGGTGGGCCATTACACCTAAGGGCCCCCTTCCTGAAAGGACTCAAATTTATCTTTTGACTTTATCTGCCTTGGAGGTGATAGAGTCTCATAGATACATGGACAGAACTGAAAGGAGATGTTCACCAGGAACTTTAAACATGCTTAATTTCATAACCCCACTGAGGCTTTTTCTCCTTTTTTAACCCCAAGATTTAAGAAAAGAAAATGATCTAGTTCTTCCTCCTTCTCTACAAGATTTTGCATAAAAAAATGGAGAATATACTCAGAGTTTTCTGATCATTCTATCCCTACAACATTAATTGAGGTAGTTTTTAAGACAAATAAAATATTAACAGTGTTGTTTGATTCTAAATGTGCCCCAATAAACTGAATTCGCTTTGCATAATACAGTGCTCTTCTGGAAACATTTATGGAAATCTTTTTGCAATTTGTACCACAATAACTAAAACAATACTGAGACCGAATGAATAATAAAAAGGTTAGTTTTATTTTATCATAAAACTATGAAACCTTAAAAAATTCATAATTGAAATGACATAAGTGAGAAAGAGTTCTTGTTACCACAAATATTTTCTGTGTGAACATATTACATATTTAATATACTTTTAATAATCTGTGAACAAACAACTTTATGGTTTTCTATTTGTGCACATCAAAATTTAATTATTTCAAACAATGTTTACATGTTCTGCCACCTTTCTTGTTATTTTTCTTTCCTTTTCACATCTCCACACTTGTTGGTTTATTATTAATAAAGAGAAAAAGCAGGTCAAACTGAACAAATGACAACACAGTAGCAATCAATAATTTTGTGAAGATATGGATTATTTATGGGATTAGAACATAACAATCACTGAAAGGCAACTTATATTTGCATTGTGACATGTCGTTTTCAAAGAACTTTACATGTCTTTTTTATTTAAAAAAGATATTTTTATTTAAAAAAGATATTTTTTATTTAAAAAAAATATTTGGCCCAACTATATGTTTGGCTCAACTGTATGTTGAAGAAGTCTTATTATTTCCACTCTATGAATGAGTTGGAAGATGAAGAATAGGTGTTGTGAAAAGACTTATGCTTGTAAATTTTATACAACCGTAATAGCAAAACTATTTTATGAACAGAATAAAAGCAAAATTATCAAACAAATAAAATTCAGATGAACATGTTAATTGATGCTTTCCCAAAATTTAAATATCCCTTCCAAATTCTGTCTGCCACAGTGAACAGCCTTTTGAGTTTTGGCTGGTATTGTCAGCTATGTGATAACTCAGTCCTACATGCAAGCTTTGATAGACCCCTGATTGTATTTTATTCACACAGTTGCAGAGGTCCAATGACAGTAATTGTCATGAATAAGAACACATCATTGATGCCACTCTCTACACTTGAGGTTCACAAGTGAAGGACTAAAAGGGAAACAATAGAGAAAAGGCTAACATCTATAGGCCAGCACAGATTGATTGGATTGATCTCAGTTCCTTTATTTCCAAGTAAAAGTAACAAATTCAGTAGGCTCATTCTTACTGACTTGATTTGAACTATCACAAGGCATATCATGTTAGGTATATTGAAAATACTAGGTATTCTCATAGTTATTGCAATTATATTGATTGCTTAATTGATTTTCTAATTAATCCATCTCCTTATAAGCCAATACTCCACTCGCATCATGCTCATTATGTCATGTAACAGCTATAATGCATTTATTATATTTATAAATATTAATATTCATATACATAAATATTTTTATTAAAATGATTTAATTAAATCCTTTTATTCTCTTTCAGCTTTCTAATTTTTACATTAAGTACTCTTTTTTTAGTATCCATGCACGTGTCGTCCCACCAATTCTTACTGCTGCATGATATTTCATACTGTAAATCCACCACATTTTTTTCTCACCCACACTTCCATTGCTGACAATTTTCCCTAATTCCTTTCATACAAAATTGCAATGAACATTCTCATTTTTTTATCCTTTATGGATTTGTATCAGAATTTCTCTAGATATATCTGTAGGAATCAAATTGCTGGGTGAGAGGGGGTCCACATGTCATTTTATTAAGTAAAAACGAAATAAAAAAATATATCTAACCCTAAACAAAATCTTGGAAATAAGAGCATCAGTTCTACATTCTCACAAGCCTGCCTGTGTCCAGTCACCCCTCCCAAAACTTGGCAGTAATCAGTTTTTTTATTTTGCCAGAATAAGCATAAAATAGAAGTTTATTGATATTTTAAATTTTATTTTTGAGGTTTTAAGTGGTTTCCAACATCTTTCATATACTTAATAACTTTCGGGGTTTCTTCTTTTATAACGTGCATGTATATATTTTTTCTTGGTGCATTACAGGAATTCCTTGAATGAAATAGAATATTATTTCTATTTAGAAATATAGAAATTACAAACATGTTACCTATTACGTTATTTATCTATGACCTCTTTACCTTTTTTACTTATGTCTTTCCTTGAATAGAAATTATCAATTTCATTTAATCAAATTAATCAATTTATCTTTGCTTTCTTTCAAGTATCTTTAGCTAATGTATAGTTAATACAATGTTATTTTTGAATTATAAAATGTAAAACTGACCTATGGAGCTTTAATATTGTGGTCATGATAAAGACTGAATTGAACTGACAGTATAGCCTCTAACTCATAATTACTGCCTGTAATCTAGTTTATCAAGAATGTCTTTGAGCAGAGACCTTGATTTTACTGGTTTTCTTATAATATCTGCATCACTGCTACTTTTTCTTAAAATTTTTTATGTTGGTGATCTTTTAGAACAATTAACAATCTAGTATGTATACATTATCATAATATAAAGGAATTTTTTTTGTAACAACCAGATGTGGAATGCTATTTGCATTCATCTATTGCAAAATACATGAGCATATATATATATATATATATATATATATATATATGTTATATATTTTATATATACTTATATACATATAAATGCACATATGTAATATTTCAATATTATATTGTACTATATAATATGTTATATAAGTGACAATATGCAATCCACACACCTTCCTATTTTTATTTAAAGTTTTCATTTTTTTTGTATCTCCTTTTTGACATTATTTTCAGATTCAGTTTTTGGGGCTATACTTACTCTTGTGTTCAATATTCAACAGTGCTAAGGAAGTATTACCATAAATTCTTTAAGTATTATCAAAAAATGAATCAAATAATATGGATATGCTTAATTATTTTTCTTATATGGGTCTTTAATGCCCATGATCATTTTTAATAACATTTTCTTCCTTTACCTTAAATTTCTTATACCATTACCTGGAGAAGATTTAATATGTTGAAAATTATCAACTCCACAAAGCTTTCTTTGTCTATAATATTCAACTTGATAGAATTCTCACACACTGAAGAGCTATAGAAACAACATGAATTATTTTTCACTGAAATCTTACTAAGTTCAATTCTTGCTTTAAGAAATCTCCATAGGGATGTGATAATATTTACTTCAATTTAATGTTTAACATTAAAGCAAGGTGGCTGAAGAGATAGACATTTCATACCTTTCTGAAGATGACAAATTACTAACAGAGTTGAATCCCATTTGAATCAGTGTTGTAAAAAAGGAAATATTTCACATAGCTTTACTAGATTTTTGGAATGCTTTAGTTCCCTAAATAATGCTGTTACTGTTGCTGGAAGCTTTGGTTCAGGATAATTACCTACTCTTCTGCAATGGACAGTATCATGTGGACACTGTATAGCATTTTTATTGTCTTGAAAGTTTCTGTAATGCCATTTATATGAGATCATTCCTAACTTCAAGGTTTGTTTGATACTTTTAATCATGGAATTGATTTTCAAAGCAATACAGGGTAGACAAGCTGGCGATGACTTTGTTGAATCATCCATTCTTGATGCTGTACAGAGGGTTGACAGTGCAATTAACTCCACACGAAGACATTTGTTTTCACAGTAAGAATTTATTTTATTTTGATTACAAAATTGTTTTCACTTCAGTCCTACTTGGTTTTTATAATCTCCATAAATCACAGCATGCATCGTGCATAAGATTGCCAAAAGCGGGTGTTTTCTTCAGTCTGTGTGTGGGTTATCACCCTCTGGGCTCTCCACCACTGCCAGCTCAGTCTCAGAGAAAATTAAACTTGTTCCCCATAGAATCTAAATGGCATAAAACCTCATTGCAGATTCACTCTATGTTGTCCCATGATAGGTATCAGGTAATGGGTTCTGTTAGGTCAGGGTCCACCAGGGCCAGACCCAGTGCTCCTGGCACTCCAGGAATTGAAAGTGTTCATCAATTTGATCACATCTGGTCATAAACTGATAGCTCACAGGTGAAAGTTTTGTTTAGGATATGTAGTATTTTGGTTATTTTAATTTGAATCAGAACATATTTAGGGTAGCGAAGCCTTCAGGTTCTATAAAGTCCCCATCAGTTCTGATGGAGGTACGTGGGATGCTTTGCATCATCTGATGTATTAGAAAACATGAGTGTTGTCTTCAAAGTCAAATAAAGTACATGCCCAGCCTTTGCAGCTGTTGGTCTAAAGGAATACCTTATAATGCCATAATCAACTATAGCTCTGTTCCCTGCATACCCACAAACAGCATGGCTTGCTGATCATGGACTTGTGTTCTGGAGCCATACACCTTATTTATATTCTTATTGTGATTCCTCACTACATCACTTCCTATCTGGGTGACCTTGAGCAAGTAACTAAGCATCTTAGTACCTCACACTTCTTGCCTATAAAATGGGGATAACGACAGAATCTATTTCATGGACATACTTGCTTGGAAGATTAAATAATACAGATAAAGTGTCTCAGCAGTGTTTGACATATAGAAAGGGCTTACTCTAAGTGAGCTATTAATATTGTTACTATGGTTCTATGATCTAAAGTTATGATTTCAGATGTAGAGGACCAGACATGCTTTAGCTGACCAAAATATCTAAAATGATTTCACATTCTTAGTGACTAATAATCTTTTCACTTATTTAGTTCAATTCTTCAATGCATATAAACCACTACTGGGTGCTGGTTGGTAGGTTCGGTACATGGAATATAAAAATGAATAAGGCACCACCATCTCATCCCTGACAGAGTCCTTCTATAGTAGAAGAGACAATATGTCAACAATTTAAGTATATCTTGTTGTGTATGTAAGAGATGTGTATGAGCATACAGAAGTAATTTAGAAGGTGGTAACTTGTCAGACTTACCAGGAAGATTCATGGGGACAGCAATAGTTGTGCAGGGTTTTAAATGTAAGCAGGAATTTCCAGGCGGTTACATTTGAGGAAAGAGAAGATAGAGAGTACCAACACCCAGAAACTGAGTGATTGCACACTGTTTCAGAGGGTTTACTGAGCCCCCTAGGACATACGTGTGGACACCAAGTTTATAACTTTCACCATAGATGTTGCTTTTTACAAAAAGAAAAAATGTTCCTTAAATCATTGATTCATTAAAAATAGATCTTTTGAGTTCAGCACTGTCAATGGCATTTGGGATTCACTCATTAACAAAATAGGAAAAGAGCTCTCTGTTCCCCCTGTGAAGCTTATTTTCTGGTGGTGAAGCTTTTCTTTTTCTTGAGTTTGGGAACTATATTCTTAAATGCACAGTGAGATTCATGGATTCTGCAGTTTTGCCTTATGAACAGTAACGTCTTTTGTCATTTGCAGAAAACCTCGCACCCCTGGTGATCTGCTGGCTCAGTTTCGTTATCCGCATGACCCATTTACTGTGGAGACAGCAAGAGCTGGGGAGATTTTTGAGCACACACTTCTGCTGATCCAGGAACATGTGAAGCAAGGGCTCACTGTTGATTTGGAGGGCAGAGGTCAGCTTCTGGGAGGCATTTTGTTTTTAGCTTATGGTCATTTGCAAAACTGACCAAAACCCTCAGTTTTTAATCTTCAAAACACCATGTGAGGTAGACATTAATTTACCACTTTGCCAAATGAATGCAGATATTTCCTGTAAGAACTGTAATTCAAAAGAAAAGATGATAAATGGATATTCAAACCTGTCAACTTCTATCAGCTATATATGTCTAGTAAATCTAGGGAGCCCATTTTAGGTGAACTTACTTTTGGAATCTGAAAGATATTACTCCTTCCTGTGAAAAAGGCTTTATTCCCAGGGTAATGGTCCTCTCCTTGTTACTGGAATCACCTAAATCATTCAGTGAATTTATTTGAATTCCTTTCTCTGTAACATATCTATCTTTCCTTCCCAATCTTTTTTGTTGTTGCTGTACTAAAGTTCTCTTGCATTTTTTTTTCTAAAACCAGACCTTTATTTAGTAAATGTCAAATGAGAGTGATGTAGAAATCTTTCTGATTTTCTAAGTCTTTCTTTTTAAAGTGAAGTAAAAATGTGATCCTTTGCTATACACTATTTGTTCTGTGAGCACAACGGCAACTTCTAGAGGTTTCTTTACTCCCCTTCAGAAAATAAACCAAGATGCTGTGCACAAGTGCCTTTCTGTGCTTGTCTCACCCCTTAGGTGCCCTATATTTAAAAAGCTCTATTTAATAGCTCCCATTGATCCATTGTGTCTTGGGTTTCAGAGTTTCCTTAACTAAAACATCCAAGTGAAATTTTCATTTAGTCCATATTAGCATTTGAATCAAAGTTCTGGCTGTTTAATTCCAAGTCTTGGAATTTTCAAGATTAACAGTCTAAATTCATAACTAAAGAATAAGCAATCAATACCTACAGAAATTTAAGTTTGCTAAAATATGCATCCATTGTTTGTGATGATCATTACCAAACTGAGTATATATTCGGATCTAAAATATTAAAGAATTTTAACAAAATTTTCTCAAGAAAAAAAGCATTATGTTGTTCTATCTTTCTTTTATTATTTGTAAAGTTAAAGACCCCCCCCTCCAGGATCAGTTTGTCCTAAAAGTGAACCCAGGATCCATGTCTTTATATACAGGAAGATTATTGCATCTATCCAAGATTAAGATATCTCAGGGTCCAGCCAGAGACCAGCTTACACAGCAAAAGGACAAATGGTCCTGGTATCATTAGCCAGTTTCTGATGATTAAGTAGGGATAATAACTCTTAGCAAATAGGATTTAGTGAATAGTCTTTGCAGATTTAGGATTATGCTGCAATTTTAAACTCTGTTAAAAGATTGGCTCCAAAACACCTCCACGTTGTATTGCACGTTCCCAGGGGAATGACAGTTTGTGGTAGTTTAAAAGTTACTGCTAAATCCCTTTTTATCAACTATCATGCAGGTTAATATTCATACCATCCACGCTAGCATGTCTTAGATCCTGTCCTCCAGGAGAATAAAACCTGGAAGAAAGAAATCGGAAGTGGAAATAAACAATATTACAATCTCGTGATGAGGGCTTACCAAACCCTTACCAACATTGTATTGGTAAAGTCACAGAACTAAGAGTTTGGTGGGAACTGGGACATGTCTCTCCTTTTCTGTTCGTTCTAGCCATTAGCAACTGCTCATAAGAGAGGCATTGCTAAGCAATGCCCCCCCCCATTTTTATTAGAACTTTCCGTTTTGTCCTAATGGATGTAGGAAAGATTTCTGCCTGCCTAGAATGGCCCATCCCTAGGGCACCTTGGGTTGAGGTCTCCCTCTCGCTCCTCCTCAAGGACAGCTCTCTTCATTGCCTTTGCGGCTCTGTTTCAGAATTCCGCTACAATGACTTGGTGTCGCCGCACTACCTCAGCCTCATCGCCAATTTATCTGGATGTACAGCCCATAGGCAGGTGCCCAACTGCTCTGACATGTGTTTCCATCAGAAGTACCGAGCCCAGGATGGGACGTGCAACAACCTGCAGCACCCCATGTGGGGTGCCTCCCTGACTGCCTTTGAGCGCATCCTGAAGCCTGCCTACGAGAACGGCTTCAACCTGCCACGGGGGGTCGGCCGTCACACCCTGTCAGGCCGGTATCCCCTCCCACCGCCCAGGCTGGTCTCCACAGAGCTGGTGGCTACGGCCACTGTCACCCCTGACCATCGATACACACACATGCTCATGCAGTGGGGTCAATTTTTAGACCATGATCTGGACCACACAGTGCCTGCGTTGAGCACATCTCGCTTCTCTGATGGGCGGCTGTGTAGCTCGGTGTGTACGAATGATCCGCCTTGCTTCCCCATCATCATTCCTGACACTGATCCCCGAGGGACTCGAGCGCCGTGCATGTTCTTTGCACGCTCCAGTCCCGTGTGTGGCAGCGGCATGACCTCCTTAGTGATGAATTCAGTCTACGCGAGAGAACAGATTAACCAGCTCACAGCATATATAGATGCCTCTAATATCTATGGGAGCTCAGAGCGGGAATCTCAAATTTTGCGAGACTACTCAGAGCCCCGGGGACTCCTGAGGACAGGCTTGCCGTGGGTCCCATCCGGAAAGCCCTTACTGCCCTTTTCTTCGGGCCCACCCACCGAGTGCACAAGGCCAGAGCAGGACAGCCGCAGCCCCTGTTTCCTGGCTGGGGACCACAGGGCGAACGAGCAGCTGGCCCTCACAGCCATGCACACCTTGTGGTTTCGGGAACACAACAGGGTCGCCACGGAGCTGTCTTCCCTGAATCCCCACTGGGACAGAGACACCCTTTATCATGAAGCCAGGAAGATTGTAGGTGCTCAGCTGCAGCACATTACCTACAGCCACTGGCTGCCCAAGATTCTGGGGGCACCTGGCATGAAAATGCTGCAGGATTACCAGGGCTACAACCCCAATGTGAATGCAGGGATCATTAACTCTTTTGCTACTGCAGCCTTCAGATTTGGTCACACGTTAATCAATCCTATTCTTTATCGACTGAATGACACCTTTGGAGAAATCCCTGAAGGCCACCTTCCACTCCATAAAGCTTTCTTTTCACCCTCCAGAATAATCGAGGAAGGTGGGATAGATCCACTCCTTCGGGGGCTATTTGGTGTGCCCGCTAAATTGCGGGTGCCTTCCCAGCTGCTCAGTGTAGAGCTAACCGAGAAGCTGTTCTCCACGGCCCACTCTGTAGCGCTGGATTTGGCTGCCACCAACATTCAAAGGGGGCGAGACCACGGGATCCCTCCCTATGCTGACTTCAGAGTTTTCTGCAATTTGACATCTGTTGAAAATTTTGAGGATCTTCAAAACGAGATTAAAGATTCAGAGATTCGACAAAAACTGAAAAAGTAAGTGTGCAAATGTTGCTTAGATTTATATGTTTCCTGGGAGAGGGAGAAGTGTTAAAGGACATTTTGTATGGTTGGATTTGGTTGCCTGGGGATGTTAACTGCAGAGCCTTTAATAATTGTTATTGTGGGAAAAGTCAAATACTAAAGGAAGGATTTCTAGAGACTAAGCAGTAACCCCTCTGTCTATCCATTTCCTTTGTAAATAAATGTAAATATTGCTGCCTCCCTGCTAGTACTTGCTAGTACATTTCAACTAGAAGAGGTGGGCTGGTCTCCTGCATTCCTGTCGGGTGGTAATCCAATCAAGGCCTTTTTATTGATACAGTAAGGTCTCAAGTTTGAATGTAAAGCCTTGTAATAAGTCCATCACATTCGCTTACTTAGGCAGAGCAAAGTAGTGAAATCAAAACATAAATTAGTTTTTGTCAAAAGAACAAATAATCTAAATTTATCATCAGAATGTAAGTCGAGGTTTATTCACTACATCATTAGTGCCTTTCAGTAAAGTACTAATATTATGTTCTCTATATGTGAGATTCAAATTTCCTTTTCACTTACAAATATGGGACATTTCCAGGAAACAACTCTAACTGCTCCTCATGCTTACCCTCCTTCATCCTCCAGAATATTAAGAAAAAAAAAATTAAAGAAATATTTTATTAAGAAGTTTTGTCCGTAGTTGGCAAATACAGAAGACTAACATGCTTATTGATAGCTTATGGTATATTAATCTGAAATCTTTTATAGAAGCTTAAAATTGCAAATTATGGTGCTAATTGCCAAGATTAGGCCCTTTCTTGTAATATTAAGACTATGATTTTTTATGCCACTAGAATTTGTTTCATACTTATGTAGAATATTAGACTAAGAAAATGTGTAATATATGTAGAAAATATCAGAGCATCATGCAGATTGAATTTGCAAGAACATTGTCTTTGGATTCATAGAGACCTGGTTTAAATCTCTATTCCACCACTTATTAGTGATGAGAGCTTGTGAAAAGTATTTGAACAGCTTTAAATCTCAGAATACATATAAAATGAGAAAACACTACCTCCTTGTCGGAGTTGTTCAAAGGTGAAATTATATAGAATGTATCAAATGCCTAGTTCAGTTCTAGTGCATCATAGGTAATCAAAAAGTCTTACCTGTGGATAGATTTATTGTAACATTATCATTTCAGTTGTCAGCAGCATTATTAGATTGCACATATGCTCTGATCCAGCCCTGTGCTAAGCACTGAGACCCTAGATGAAAGAAATAGCTTCCTGAAGAGCCAGACAGCATGCAGGGAGCTGGCTGTAATCAGTGTGGAAAAGATTGTCATAGAGATGGGAATTGAATGTTATGGAAACACAGAGCTGAGAAATGGAAAGTATGTGTAAGAGTCACCCCAAGCTAGTGATAAAAGATGCCATTTGATCTTCTCTTGGAATTTTCTGAGTGTGATAAATTGAATGAAGTGGGAATGGCAGACAGTATCCCAGGGAGAGGGAAAGAAGCAGGAAGGCATGGGGTTGCATGGCAGGAGGGGGTAGAAAGGTGACAAGGGGAAGCTTTCAAAGGACCCTGTATGCCATGCAAGGGAGTTTGATCTTCATTCTCTGTAAAGCAAGAGAGTGACTCCAGGAAGACTTTTCTGTGAAATGCTAACCTGCACAAGCTGTCCTGGGAGAAGGAGAGGCTAGCAGCAAGGAATTCCATTCCACCACAATTCAGGTGAAGAAAGAAGAAGGGGAGATAGGCTCTTGGCAGTCTTTGCAACACTATATTCATTTTAAATGTTTCCTGTAAGCACGTCATCTACATTGAATAGACCTGGGAGCAAGTCTTGCTTTGTGACTCATTGGGGTCCCACTTCTCAACTTGCAGCTAACCTGTAAATTCATCACCAATTATAGAGTAGGAGCAATGTGTCCTTTTAAAATGTCCCCGTCACAGGGGCGCCTGGGTGGCTCAGTGGGTTAAAGCCTCTGCCTTCTGCTCAGGTCATGATCTCAGGGTCCTGGGATCGAGCCCCGCATCGGGCTCTCTGCTCAGCAGGGACCCTGCTTCCTCCTCTCTCTCTGCCTTCTTCTCTGCCTACTTGTGATCTCTGTCTGTCAAATAAATAAATAAAATCTTAAAAAAAAAAATAAAATAAAATGTCCCCGTCACAAAGTCTTCCTGAATCCTCTGGCTCTCATGTGTGATGAAGCAGACTGCATGTCATTGCCACACACAGCATTAGACTGGAATATAGATGCAGGCCCTCTGCTGCAGGACGCATACTCCTAGTGGCCAGTGCAAGGCATGACTGACCTCTGAGATGGACAGTGGCTCGCTCATATACTGCACATGGAGTGTTCACACACCTGGCTTTCTTTGTCCTCCTTTAATGCATTTGGGATGTTAACACTGAGTCTTCTGAAACCTAACAATGAGTCTTTATCCCTGCTTTGGGGAATGTTTGAACTGTGGGAACTTTGTGCAGCCTGGTACCTGGCCTTAGCCTGAGGAGAGCAGGACTGACCAGCATGAGTAGATGTGGGGAGGCCAGGAAGCTGACTACCTTACTTTCCTCTTAGGCTGCTAGGTGTCTGACTTTGCTCTGGCATTCGTAGTAAATTTATAAAACAGCAACCTCAGATTCATTCAACCACGAGCACAAAATAGATAAGTTGGAGTTGTGTTTACAGTCTCCATCTTTAAATTCATAGATAGCAGTTTGTCAGGAGCTGATTTTACTAAGGAGGGTGCCATGGCTTTCCATATGCCCGTTTACATACTTATTGCTTTACTCTCTCCTGTTACTTGTTACTTCTTTTCCTTTCTGTGTTATTTTGCAAGTGTGGTTTTAAGTTTGTTTCTAAAGCACTTCAGTCAAATTTAGAAACAAGTAGGGCATATCATTAAATCAACAAAATAACAGCTGAAAAAAAAATCAACAAAATAAATACTGCCCTGGAACATTAAAAACTCCATATTTCAGATAATTAGGACAGCTTAAGAATTGACTAAAGTGGAGAATCATAAAAATAATGCATACATATGTCCTCGGTATTTTAATTTTACACATTTGAGCACACATTAAGTCCTGTAACTTGCGCTTTGGGGCAGCAAGCGGGGAAGGTGCAAAGTCTGTGTTCTGGTTTTGTCATTGCTGGTTTAATACGGATCTGCTGATTAGAATTCAGAAGCTTGTGCCCAGGCTGAATCTTTTGTGTGTGTAAAAGTTTGTTTTGAAAGGGGAATAGGAATTTTCCAGGGAAGTGATGGTATGAATGCAGATTCCTTGTACATGTTTCTATCATTCCCCCATAGTAACATAACATGCAACTAATTGGCATTGATGTTTGATTCTCCATTTGACAACCCTTCCCAAAACACTGAATTTGGTCTTCACAGGAATAAGTACTCTCCTCTTTTACACAAAGGCTTCATTATTTTATGTAACATTTAATGAATTACGTAATCCAAATCACAAGTATGACTGTGATGAGCAAGTGGGTAAACTCTGCTGACTCCCAGGTGACAGCTCAACCAACAGCAGCTGCAGCTCAGACAGGAGCCTTTAACCCCAGGGTCATTAGCCATCATCTCTGTGGGCAGGAATGGGGAGCACCGGAATATGAGGGTTTCAGGGAAGAAGAGGTTGTTTAAAATAATTGGTATTTGCTGTACCTTGTACAAATTTTGCGATAGTTAAAAATATTTGGGACAAACTGGTGATTCACAGACCTGTACTAAAAAATAAAAAATTAAAAAAAATACAAAAAAATATTTGGGACATAGAGAAGGGCTACATGGGATAGTGTAAAACTAAGAGAAACCTCAGAGGGTGATGGGGGGATGAAAAGGTGGTGCCAGGAGGCCCAGGTTCCTTCTGTTGGACAGATTGAGTACTGCAATCTTGGACGACTTTAGATTAGCTTTTGTTCTCTTACCTATAAAGTGAGGTTGTTTCACTAAAATGTCCTTGAGGTCCTTTCAGGTCTAAGAGCATATATATATATATTTTTTTCAGTTAATGACTATGGATATAATAAAATGGTAATTCAGAAGGTGCTCTTTAATTAATAGTTTTAATTCACACATAGTATCTTCATATTCCAGAATATATCACCTCATCTTTATGTGTCATCTGGTATACAAAGCCAATGACTTTTCTTTATTTCAGTTAATTTTGAAGCCTTGGGTCAGTTTACCACCCAGAAGTAAAATCTAATTTTCCTTGTACCTTCACATTGGATCTTTAGGCAGCTATTAAAAAGCCAGAAAAACATGCAGAAGCCATGCTACAACTTTCCTCTTGAATGACCAACAGTTTTGCCATGAGGAATACCTGGTCTGTCACAAGAAAGCCACACCGGGGCATTGTTTTAGTCAGCTTTCAGTTCATTTCTGTAAGATTGGTGAGGTACTTTAGATTCTCCTCAAGGAGCTCAGAGCCTAGGGCGTGGGGAACTCACAAGTCACATAACCCTGTCATGTGACATGTGGAGCCACGGCAGTTAGGAGATCATGATGGATTCCTTCAAGAAAGTGGTGTCAAAGTTCTGTCCTCCATATTGTTTTCCACAGTGGTTGCATCACTTTACATTCCCATTAATAGTGCACCAGCGTTCCTTTATCTCCATGCCCTCACCAACACTTATTATTTCTTGTCTTTTTGCTGTGACCCATTCTGAGAGGTGTGAGGTGATATCTCATTGTGGTTTTGATTTGCATTTCCCAGATGATGAGTGATGTTGAGCATACAAACAAGCAAAGAACTCTTAAACAGAAAAGAAACTGATGGTTGCCAGAGGGGAGGGGGCTGGCAGGATGGATGAAATAAATAAAGGAGATTAAGAAGTATAAACTGCCAGTCATAAAATAAATAAGTCATGGAGAATGAAAAGTACAACGTGGGGAATATAGTCAGTAATGTTGTAATAACATTGTTTGGTGACAGATGGTGGCTATACTTATTATGGTGAGCACTGAGGAATGTGCAGAATTGTTAAATCAGTATG